ATAGGATGGGTTTCATGAAAGCCAAACCCAACCTGTAATTATAATATACAAACCCAAATCTGCCCTAAGGTTTAAAAATATAATTTTTACTCGGATCTATACGGTATACGGGTTAAACCCACCTGCCCTGCCCTGGCAACCTCCTCCCCCTTCCCCTGCCCCTTCCCCTCTCTCCACCACGAGATTCAATATTGAAACACAATAGCTTTTGGGTTTCAGTTTATACATACACACAAACACATACACACTGAAAACCAGAAGCTTTTGGGTTTCAATTTGTGTATTTATTTTTATTTTTAACTTTTTTAAAAATAAAAAGTGTGTAGTATGTATTAACATGGGTACTAAGGGAGTACCTGCCCATGTACAAAAATTTATAATTCAATTGAAGTGTCAGTAAAGTTTCCTAAATCCTCTAATGAATGAAAAGGATGACCCAACAACAAAAAACCAAGAGTCTGAAACCATTTATTCTTGAGTAAGTCAAAATCATCAACCCCAACTAAACATGCCATTTAGTATGGGAAGCTTCAAAAGAAATGAAACCAGAAAGAATATAGTTAAGAATTTTTTCTAACTTAAAAACAATAGATGGTCTAAGAAGTTATTTGGAACAAAAAAAAAAAATTGGAATCAAGAGTAACTGGATCATACAGCTTTCTTAAATGCCATAAATGCTGCTTCGGGTAGGTAAGCATATGTTGTACCACTATCCAGAACAGTGCCATGTTTGCCGTCGAAGATGCTTGGGTCTAAAGGCAACTGCTTCCCAGCAACATGTATCTCCTTCAAATTAATGTTGTAATATGGACTGTTGCCATCCCGAAACTAAAGTAAATGTGTGAGATGTATCAAATGTATTTGTTAGAAAGCTCATGATACATTTTGTCCATAAGAGATAAAACTTTTGTATAAACACACCTGCGATCTGGATCTGAATGGGCAAAAACCATGTCGGATGGGGCAGATATATCACCAAGAACCATCGCACCCCCACCAATGTCCATCCCTCCATAACATAATGAAAATGAATCACTAATTACACCTTTATCTGCAAGTTGGTCCACAATACTAAGGTCACCTCGACCCAGTCCCATAATTCCATCGGCATGTTGACTATAGAGATCACCAGTTTCCACATTTTCACAACCAAAAACAGCACGTTGAGGTTCAAGTTCACTTTGATTTCCAAAAGATACAATATCCTGACCAAGGACACCACTACTAGTGCTCATCTCAGCGTATTGTCTTTCATAAACACATTGTTCTCTATCACTATCACAAATGCAATCTATATTGCACTTCACAGGTTTGTACGTACTTGATAAATCTGGCTGGAACTTTGGATCCTAGTTAAAATATAAACATTAGTAAAACAACCATTTTGGAGTCTAAAAAGTGCAGTAAATGAGCAAAATTATTGGCAGTGCATCTCAGAGAATTAGATATCCAGTTTATCATATTCACCAGAAACTTTAAAATGTATAACAGCTAATCGATGGCATGCCTATTTCATTCTTCATTACAACCAAAGGAAAAAAGAAAAACTTCATAGCATTAAAATAGAATAAGATAAGCACAGAGGATTAAACGATGTCATTTAAAGAAGGATAAGCTGTCGTTTTTCTTTCCTTACACTTTCAGCTTTCCCACCGACACTTTCTATTTTCATGTGGTTTCTCTATATATATATATACGTACACGCACAAAGACATTTATTTCTTTCCAGTTAGCTTAGGAATTCAACAAACTAAGATATATTTGTCCAGTTTTGTCCAGTTCCTGTGCTTTTGTTGCCTGCTCTATCACCATCAATTGGACTACCTTTTCTTCCTTCCTACTCTTTTCTAGTTGCTGGCCACCCACGCTTTCTATTTTCATATGGTTTCCATGTATACGTATACGCACAAACACATTTATTTCTTCCCAGTTAGCTTAGAAATTCAACTAAAATAAATTTCTCAGTTCATATGCTTTTGTTCCCCGTCCTATCATCATCAACTGAACCAGCTTTTCTTTATTCCAACTCTTTTCTAGTTGCTTGCATTGCATGCAAGCTAAAAAGAACTTACTATACGAAGCATTATGCAAACATTACAAAGAAAGCCCCCCAGAAGCAACAAAGGCTAACGCAAAAGATCTATCATAATTGATATATCAACGTAATCGGCAACGAAGCAGCACCTACTAACCTTCTCCTCTTCAATGATCAATTCGCATCAAGTAGATCCAATAACAGGACTAATGGAAATATTACCAAAAAAAGAACAAAAAGTGAAGAGAAACAGAAGAGAGAATAAAAAAAAAAAAAAGATTAAAAGAATCTGCCTTAACCAAAAGGATAGACGATTAATCAGTTTAAGCATCACCTGGTGCCTCCCACACTGGTCACAGTTGGAGCACGGGACATATGTAACAGTACTCCCAGTATCAACGATAAGCGCAAATTTTTGTGGCGGTGTCCCGATCCACAGTCTTGTAGTATAATACCTTGAATTTCAAGCCAAAGCTCTCAGGTCTCAATCTCATTTGAAAAAGAAAAAACGGAAAAAAACAATTCTCCCAAGATAAACAAGAACAGAAACTGACGGCATTGTACCCGTGGAGGAGAAGATCGTCGTAGAGTTTCATGCGAGCTTCGGGAAGGGATCTGGAGTCGGATCTCTGAAGGCGGAGGTGGTTCGAGATGGCTCTAGAGGAATTAGGGGGAGATAGAAAGAGCGGCAACACCATGGAGCGAGAGGCCCTGCCCTGAAGAGACTGGAGGAGGAGATGATTGGTGGAGGGGGAGGGTGCAGAGGCAGGAATTGATTGGAAGAATGATAGAGGGACAAAGAAGAAGACAGCGGTGATTAGTAGTGGAATCGGTACCGACGCCATTGTTCTCCTGGCTCGGATAATTCAGAAAGGACTAATTGAATGTTGTTAAAGAGCGGTAGAAAACGGCATTGAATCAGATACAGGAAAATGCGAGATGAATGACGAAGTTCGCAGCTCTCTCCTTCTTTCGTTCTTGTTCTTCTTCTTCTTCTTCTTCCGGGGGGTAGGGGAGAGAGAGAGAGAGAGAGAGAGAGAGAGAGAGAAGAAAGGGGAGGTAATATCAGCTCAGCGAAAGAGCTAGAAATCGAATTTTTTTACGACTACCTGGCCTTGCAGACTTAATATTCGGGATCAATTATACGACGTCGTATAGTGCGTTTAAATTACAGACGACAAGCCTCTCTTTCCTTTTATTGTTTTTCTTTTTCCAAAGAGGAGCAAATAAATTCCCAAAATAAAAAGTGTTATCCAACACAGATATTTTTAGCTTTTTTTTAACTAGTCGTTTTATATATTGTTTTTAGCAATTTAAAATAAAATTGACAGTTAAATACTATAATAAAAATATTTTAGTACATGAGCCAGATATTTTTAATTATTTTTTATATAAATAAAATGTTAAATAAGATATTAATATATTTCTAATTATTCTAAGATAAAATTTAACAATATCAATAATAAACTAATGAATTAAATTTTAAAATTTTAAAATTAAATATTATAAATCAATCATTATTGTAATTTATTTATGTTATACAACATTTTTTAAATTTATTTTTTGTTTTAACGAAAAATGAAATAGTAATTAACCTATCTAAATTATTATAATTTTGGGCATAATATTTGATTATCTGCTAGTTGACTTTTACCAAGTATTTCTTGATTTTAGACAATTCTTTATTCCTTTTTCAAATTTATTTTTGCTTTTTATATATGGACATCTACTAATTTTTTATTTTTTATTTAAAAAAGAACGGTCAACTTCTTTTACAAATTTTAAGAAAATTTAATTCTTATGTTATGTACATCAATAATGATTGTTTATGAATTTAACATCATTACTAATATACCTTCAATATTACTAACTATATAATATTAAAGCATTGATCTACTAAAAATTGATTAAAAATAACAATAAATTATAACAAAAAATAATTATTATGTTGAATATTAGATTAGTTATATAGTAATAAGTGCGCAATTTTTATTCTAACATTACTTTTCATAAAATTTGAAACCAAACAGAAAATAATACTAATAATAATATTGTAAATGGGTGATACTTGTTATACCCTTCAAAATTACAGGGTGCATAAACATAATTTTCCAATTTTTTAATATTCAAACCAAACAGAAATCCACGAAATTTTCACTGGAATATAATTTCACTCTTTATAAATTGATTTAATTTAACTATTGTAGTAAACAAATTACAAATTGGGAAAATATCATTAAGATAATTAGAAAACAAATCACAAAAATTAAGTTGTGACAAAATAAAATCGTAATAAAACACAAGTATAAATACTGAAACTGTAGTTTATCTTCTAACCTGCATGTATCTAACTAAGGGGGGCAAAAGAAAGAGACAAAAGATAAAGGCTCTCTGTTTAACTTTCATACAAGTCCTCGTTTTACAAGGGTTATGGATCCAACCAAGCACCTGATTGTTGCGTGCTAATAGAAGCTTTAGAAGGAAAAAAAAAAAAAAAAAAAAAAAAAAAAGAAGGAAAATCAGCACCATTCCCGCAAATTGGGAGTAGGTTTCCCAAAAATGAGTCATGCATCTGGCTTTGATCTAACTTCCCTATTATATAAACTCTTCAGAGTGAAAATTACATATAAGGCTGGTGAGAAGGCTGCAGCCCACTACCGATGTAACCACCATAATTTGACGAAGGTGCGCTATAAGAAACCGCGGATAGCCTGTCCTCTTGAGGGTAGTAATATAATCTTTGATCACCAGCTGGCTGAGGATAGGCAGATTGCCCGGGAACTTGGTACTCGTAAGGGTTTAGACCGGCATGAGGATATCTCTCTGATGACATCCCGGTGTATGCTGCCCTGTCTCCATAAACAGGTGGAGGCTGTCTACCAGAAGGAGCTGCACCAGGAGTACGAAATCCTCGGAATCCCCCATTTGGTCTTGCTTTCTTTTGGTTTTGATACTTACCAGGATCTCCATTTCTCTTCCTTTCGGACTTTGATTTCTCTAGTTGAGCAACTCTTCTTTGAAGGGAATCAAGTGGGTAATCAGCTTCAAGGCTATACTCCCCAACACATTTGATTACAGCCTTCAATGCAGCAAGTTCTTGCGCATTTGCATCACCCTGTAGACAAAAATAAAACTGCCAATGAATATTTCGTAATGAGAGAAGTTATTTTGTGAAAGAGGTCTACACTGATTTGACATTAAAAAAAAGGGAAACGGGACCAACAATAATGGAAAGAGACAACATATTAGCATATTCCCGTTGCAAGGAATTATTCATTAAATGAACATAGGAACTCCCTAGTATCAACTACATATCATGACCAAGCACACATATACCTGTCCACCAGCTGGATTCCCACCCCTTCCTTGGGAGTTTCTCCTTAGGTCCTTTAAGTATGTCTTGAGAAGGGGCACAGGGGGGAAGCTTTCAGAGAGCTGGAAGGCCTGAATAAAATGAACAGCATCTACTTGTCTCCCATTTTTAATCAATGCTTCAATAACACCTGCATAAGGTATGGAGTGTTAGCAAGTCCCACATAAAAATAGTTATTCCACTACAGCAGGGCTATACTTAGACAAGGCCTGCATACACCTCATGGAAACAGCATCCCGACGATACCCTAAAGGGATACATGTATGAGACATCTCACGGAAACAGCATCCCAGTCTCCATACCCCATCAGGTCAGTTAATTAAAAGAACACCAACCTGGCATTTTGTGTGTTAACCCAAGAGAACGGCAAAGCTCAGGTGCCTGCCGGCGGCGAGCAACTACAAGAACAAGCTTGCAGAGTTCTTCTTCATCAAACTCCGAAGCAATCCTAAAAGTAGCAAGGAGCTGCAAGAATGCCTCTGCTTCCAATGAATTTCCATTGGCAGCATCAATGCCTCCACTAGACAACTTAGGCTTCCACTCATCAGCAATTGCCTTGGCTTGCTGCTTGGTGTCAGGGTTCAGAAGGTTATCAGCACCTGGGTCAATTCTTGCCATTAAGGCGGCCATGGCTTCCATAAAAACAACACAGGATTTGCGCTTGCCCAGAAGGGCAGCATCCTTCTTATCAATTGGTAGGTTAGTTTCATCAGGAGGGTAAAATCCCTCCAATGAATCCAGCACTAAACGTGCCGGGTCAGTTGCACTTTTTAACGCAACAGAAAGTTCCTCACGAATAGCAAACAGAACTTTATGGTTCTCCATAGTAAAATTCAAAAGCCCTTTGGCATCCATCTGCTCGCAAAATTGCGTCAGTTCTGGGCGTGGCTTAATATCAGCAGCCACATTTGCAGCATTTTCACTTGTTTTACGAGGAAAGTCCTCCTCTGGGGAATTTGTATCACCAAGAGAGCTGCTTACCTTGCTGTCTTTGCTGTTTCCACCATCAACAGATTCCAATAAAGTTGGTTGGTGATTTGCCCGCGCCTCGGTGATGGAAGCAACAGCAGCATCTTTAAGTTCCTGCACCCGATCTAGTAGATCTTGCTCTTTAGCAGCAACAGCAGCTTCTCTCTCCGCTAACAACGCAAGGGTTTTAGCTTCTTGTTCCTCATATTCCTTCTCCCTAGCTTCTAGCTTTTCATATTTTAACTTCAACTTTGTCTCAAGATCTCGAAAGTGTGCTTCAATATCCATCCACTGCACCTTGTCAGCATTAGTATCTTTACGAGCTTCTAGTTCAAGAAATTTCTTTCCGAGCTCTTCTATGAGAGAGGAAGCACTATCATTTTGCACAACTAGCTCAGTATCAGACATGGTCCAATGAAGACCTGGAGTTTCAAGCATGATTTACACAAGATATTATAAGATCAAAAAAGACATGAGCAAACCCATCAAATTTACTTATATGACTATATATCAGAGGACCAAGGATAGCATATGAATATCAATATTTAGTTGAAGAATTTAGTCAGCAGAACTAACATGGTCTGCTTTTTATACCATCTCTCTCTCGCTCGAAAAATTGAAGGTAAAACTGCTTTTCCTAGTGTTTATATTTGTTCATGTTTATACTTGGAAGGGAAATCAAACTAAGTCAATCTTCTGTATAAGCCAATTTTTAAACGTGAATTTCTTAGGTTCCTCCCCAATTGTTCCTAATTTCCAACATTCATCATTTACAGCTAGTTCCATTAAATCACCCAACAATTGTACCACCAACCTACAACCCAGATTTCCATATGAGTTAGTACACAAGCCAGGCTGGATTATTTTAAACACACAGCACACAAAATATTTTTTCATTAAACCTCGGGACTCAAAGTAACAGTTGTTAGGTTTTTCTGTTTCAAATGCATCATTCTCTTACGTAATTTGAAGACACTGAACCTCAATCACAGTCATGTCAAGGGTGCTGCTAATAAACAATATTCACTTGGTTGCAAAGCCTTAAAACTTAAAAGGACTTATACAGATACGCCTAACAGAAACCATAAGCAAGCAACATCTGTGAAAAAAGTGTTAAGTGCAACCGTATGTGTATTGCCCCAGATGCCAAAACTACAACCATTGACTTTTAGGATACCTATTCCCACTAATCTATAAAGCTTCTTCAACTTTATACCAGTATCAGTGTAAATCAACCATCGGAGGAGTTCTCATGCAGTAATGAATTACTCCTCAAATAGTTCATATACTTTTTTTCCTACTTGAGGTGTACAAAATTGTAAGTAATATTCCAAACAAGAACACCTATGGTAGCATATTTGACTTCTAAATTATGTTTGCCAAAGACGGTTGTGCCCTCTGTTTTTGACATTTGAAATAAAAATCAAACCAGGATCTGTAACTCAAGTTTGAGTTCAAAAACAAATTCAGAATCAACTTCTTTTCGCTGAAAAAGATAGCCTAATTAAGCTACACCGAAAAAAAAAACAACTTTGAATCTGTTCAGGAAAGGAAATTGACAGGATACAAAAACTTAGGATCTGTTCAGGAAAGGAAAATGACAGGAACGAACATAAACAATTGACAGCAATGTGCTTCACTTCATATGGGAACCAGTAAAAGGGAACTGAGAGTAAAATATATTTTCTTGTTTTAATAAGAGGAGAAAGGGAACAGAATGGAAATAATTGATGTATAATATCCTTTTCCTTTGTAAGAAGATGACTTGGGAAAATAGCATTCTAAAGAAATCATTACGAATTAATTGGTCATTGCAAAAAAATGATATTAGCTCTTATTCCTTACTATCCATTCTTCCACAATTTGGGCATTAATTCCTTTTTCTTTCTGTCAATTTAGAATGCATATTCCCCCTCATTCACCTTCAATTCCATTACCAGTTACTAACCTCCTCATATTTTATGTTCCCCCTCTCCCCCCCTTCATCCTCACCCAAACACAGCCTTCAAAGTAATTGAGCCAAGTTCAGGGTCCAGGTTTTAATAGTCTCCGCTCATTTAGCCCTAAAACTATGCTCGCAATATGAAGAAACTCAAATGACCACCGTTGCCACCAATTCTACACCTGTATGACTCTATTACTGTTTAAGTGAAAATTATAAGTAAAGCCTACATGAATTCGAAAAGTGGTTATAAAATGGAAATAATCAAATGCACGCTAAAAAATTGAAATTGACGCCGGTAATTATGCTATTAAAAAAAAATTACCCTCCGCATTCCATTT